GTCAGGCCAGAGCTCCTCACACAGAAAAGTTGAAGGGTGTATAGTAGAAATTCCTGGCCCTGAGGCTGTGTGACCTCAGGCTGGTCATTAAGTTGCATGTGGCCTGTTTCCTCATGAAGGGGACATTGGATTACATGATCTGAAATTCTGGGAATCTTCTATTTGTTTCCAGAAAGATCATCTGACCTAAAAAATCTGACATAACAATAACAAAATAGTATTGAAAGGTGAGCAAAGTATTTCTTCCTTCCACCTGTCCTGGCCACCCACTCTATAGTGCCTTTCTCCAAGGACCCAGACTAAAACAACCTGTATCTTGGAATGAAGTCACAAGTCCCCAAAGTTGATTTGTGATGGACTAACTTAACTCACCATCCCCAAATGGCCCACTCCACTGTGTAGGGTTGGCAGTAGGGAGGCAAGGGAAGACAACAGACATCTTCACACAAAGCTTCGTGAAGTCCCTGAATGTGACCACTGGTTCAGATTTTTCTCAGGGCAACTAACTGGTGCAATTGAGGCTCTCATTGTTGTATAACCAAAGCATCTTTTTATAGTGGGGATGACCCCATTAAGAAAAAAATCCAACAGTGTGAGCAATTCCTTGTGCCAACTCAAAATACCTCTGCTTACAAACACCAGCATTTTGACCACAACACCCACTAAGAAAGAAATGGTAGGACGTTGGATGCCTCAGCACATTCTCTAGATAGTTCTATTATCAATTCAAAAGTTGTTCCCCCACCCTCATACAGAGTAAAGACTATGTTACCATTTTACAGACAGAGCTGGTTTTTGTTGTTGTTTTGAGGTGCTCGGGATTGAACCCAGGGCCTAGTGCATGCTGGGAAAGTGCAATACCACAGAGCTCCATCCCCAGTCCCACACACTCAGCTATTTATTGCCCCTTTCTCGTGTCCAACTCCTATGCTCCAGGTTCTAAAGCAAAACTGTCTTGGCTAATCTAAATCTTCCTTGGTACTAGGCACGAACAATCCCCTGCAACCTACTCATCCACTCTCCTTTTCGGGACAGTAAGGCCAAGAGAAGCAACTGGACTACTCGATGTTTCCATTGAGCTTTATAATTTACAAACCATTCACCAACATACCATGATCTCTCATCTGAGCCTTATATAACAACCCAAGGAGGCAAACCTGCTCCCCTCCCCAGTAAGGTCTGTATCTGCATGAGACTGTCATGGGGTGGCACATGGTAAGCACATCATAAGTGCAAGTTATTAGCCATGTGCCATGGTCTGGATGTTTGTGCACCACCAAATCATATTGAAATCCCAACCCCCAAGAGGACAGTATTAGACATGAGATCTTCAGGGTATTATTAGATCATGAGGGCAGAGCACTCATAAGTTTCATTAGCATCCTTATTAAGAGGCCAGAGAGAACTTCCTCACCCCTTCCACCATAAGATCATGGAGAAGCAGCCATTTGTGAACCTAAAAGTGAGCCCTCATTCACCACAAACTCTGGCAAAACCCTGAACTCAGACTCCCCAGCCTGTGAGAAACAAACTTCTGTTGTTCATAAGCCACCCAGCTTAAAGTACATTACAGCAATCCTAATGGACAAGACCATATTAAACACAGCAAGTACTATTTTATGAATGAAAAACGAGGCTCAGGTTGGACAACCAACTGACTGCAGATAACTAGGCCTCCAGGAAAGTACACTGAGCTGGGAAGGGAGAAAGCCTAGTGCAGGATTCTTTCTACCACCATATCGACATAGATCCTAATATGTTTAAAACCTTACAGTCACACATTTCCAATTAGGCTTAGGCCTAGGAGAGCCTGAAGTCTGGTACTGTCACAGTAGGATGGCCACATACTCAAGAGCATTGGTTCTTTGGACCTCTGTGCCTTCCTCTCCATAATGAAGGCAGACTCACTGTTGGTCGGTCGGTTGTTTTCCTTATTCTTCCTTTTTCCAAATAAACATCAAGCTTTCAGACTACAGGCCCCATTGCAAGCACAAAGTATCATTTAATTGCATTTCTGCACCAGCTCCAGCTATCTGCTTCCCAGTCCCTAACTCCCACTGGGCAGATTCTGAAGCCACACAGGAGATTAAGTCAAGAGGAGAGAACAGGAGGGACATTCTCTCCTTGAACTTTCTTAAATGGAAAAAAGAAAAAAAGAAGAAGAAGAAAAGAAAAGAAAGGCCTATTTTCCAAGGAGGGGGCTGGGGCAATGATCTTTCCATTATGCAGACCTGCATAAGAATCTATAGATTATTTAATGCTGGGGGTGGCTGTGAAGCGAAATAAAGGAATCTTTGTGAGATGCCAGCCACAGTTCCCTCACTCTTTCCCCAGTCAGGCATTTCAACCAACTCTTTAAATCATCAAGCTCTAATGCACCCCATCTGTGCACTGGCTGCAGCCAATGAAACCAAAGCCTTTGCTGATTTTGGCCTGGACTTGTGAATGAGCCTTTCTGCCCCAAAAAGGGCAGGATGGAGGACACAAGGCTAATGAAGTCTTTTTTTGCTCATTATTTGTCTTCTCCCAATGTTTAAGCTCCATTCGTCCTTTTATTTGATTACTTGCTGAGCTCTTACCACAGGTCAAGTTCTGATCTGGAGACTAAAGCTGAGAGGACATGGCCCAGTGATGTGAGAAAGAGCTCATGAGAGGAGCAGGGAAAGAAGAATGCTCTTATCAGAAATCCATGGCCCTGAACTACCCTTTACCTGCATACTCTGGGATTGTGGCTAACTTCCACTCAGTTGCAAACTCCCTCAGAAGATAAGATTCTGCCAGATCAAAGGCCTTGCATATCAGGCCAAACAGATAAGACATAAACTTTGAAAGTCATTACTATCTCTCTATATTCAAACTCTAGCCATCTCACAAGATTCAGTGCAAATAACCACCTCTTCCAGAAATACCTCCTGAATACCAAGCAATAACTCTCTCCAAATGTCCAATCCAAGATCCTGGGCAACTTTTCTAGGTCTCAGCTTCTCCATCAATATAAAAGATGACTAACGACCTAAAGACTTCTCATGGGATAGCATTTATAAAAGTGTCAAGTAGCAGTTTTTAGTACATAGCGGATGCTAAAAAGCACTATACTGGTACATCAATGTCATACATAGCACTTTTTCCTTGTGTTAAAATGATGCCTTGGCTTCCCACTAGATTTAGACTAACACTTTCTTTGGTGATTTTCCCAAAAAAGACAACTTTGCAATTCCCCTCCAAGCTCACAGGTCCGCTTCCAATGCCCAGAGGACTGGCTGCTCTCTTCTCTGACAAAGCCTCCCACATCCAAACTTCCTGACAAAGGGTTCCCCCCAAACTCAAAGAGAATCTGACAAAAGATGATTCGTTGATATAAAAGGAAGCCAAAAGCTGGCTGAAACATAAATAGAATAAAGGGAAATAATTTTCAGAATCACAAAGAACGGAAAGTGGGACAGAGTGAAAGTCCAGCTAAGTCTTTGAGGGCCCGAGGCATCCAGCTCATGGTAACTAAACATCCTGGCATAGATGGAGAACAAGGGACCCCGTCCTCAGGGCCGATTTGAGATCTTCTGCTAACACAGACCTGGTTATTCTGTCAACCTTCTTCGCGTCCTATGTCTAACCAGCCAGTCAGACTGTAAGGGTCTACACTGTTGACTGGAGCCCTCATCCCTGCCTGGCTGAGGCTACTGAGCCACAGGTAAAGAAAGCAAGGCCACCTTTTCCAGCAGTTCTTATAAATAGGTCAGCAACACTAATTTTATTTATTTATTTATTTATGGTACTGGGAATTGAACCTAGGGCACTCTACCACTGAGCCACATCTTTAGCCAGTTTCTTTTTCTTTTCTTTCTTTCTTTTTTTTTTAAATTTTCAGACAGAGTCTCACTAAGTTCCAGAGACTGGCCTTGAACTTGGGATCCTCCTTCCTCAGCCTTTTGAGTCATTGAGATTACAGGCAAGAGCTACTATCCCCAGCACTAATTTTCTTTTTCAACTTAGTCTGGATCTGCATAAAGGTTGGTTTGTTTTCATTTTAATGGCATGAAGTCCAAGTTCTGAGATGCAGTTGAGGGAAGAATTCTCCCACGATCTTTCTCTCTTTGTCAAGCAGCCCTAGTAAAACCTGTTTCTCCTCCCCTGGGAACATAGGTCCAAGAGAGTGGCAGCTCCCGTGAGAATGCTGCCTGAAGGAGGGTCCAGTGCCTGAATCGCACAACGGGGTGTTGGATTTGTTTCTTATTAACCCCAGTCCTAACTACAGAAGCTGTTGCCAACGCTCCTCAGGGAAAACAAGGTCTGGTCTTTCTTCTGATTATGATCAAATGTCATTCTATATTACCTCATGCATAAGCCCAAAAGGTCCCCCTGAGCCAGTAGATCATCTCTTCAACAGGACACTTTTGTTTCTCCCCAAAGGCCACTCATTTCAGTAATGCCACTGTCTCACAACTTCCCCTGGGGCTTGTCAGGGACTCTCTCATCTTTGTCAACAAACCCCACTATAATGGGGCTGGCAGTGTAGGTAGCTAGATGGCAGAGCCCTTGTCTTGCATGCATGAGGCCCTGGGTGCAGTATCCAGCATTGCAAAACCAATGTGAACAACAAAAACCCTTCAAAACTATAAGAACCTCTTCTCCCCACCTCTCTTAGAATTCACTTTCCAAGCAGAAAGCACTCTTCTGCCACATTCTGCCAACTAAACCAAACAAGCTGAGCAGAAGGCTCTAATCCTTTCTCTGGCCTGCAAGCTGCCAGCCCCCAAAGCCTCCAACAAGGGTGACATCTAATTTCCAAAATAACAAATTAAACCATTTCTCTGTCCCTGCAACTTGGAGTGATTTCTCAAGAAAGTGAGGCAGTCATGTGAGTCAGCCCTCTCTGCACACACACACACAAAAAATAGAGTAGAAATATCCCAGCCCCTTTGCAGAGTTTATAAACATCTGTAACTTTAGGAAAAGTGCCCTCACCCGGGGGTAGGCAGGAAAGGCTTGCGGGAAACATGTACCTTGGAAATGAGTTCATCATGATTGGCCAAGTGAGCCCTGCAGTGAATGCAGCTATAGGTCCGATGGCAGGAGGGCAGATATGCCTGGAAAGTCTTGGATCTTGTCATCTTCACCATTGGCGCCGCTGAGCGTGGGGTGAGCTCTGGGGCAGCCCACGAGGCACTCCCACAGGATGGGTCGCACGGGAAACACCGGAAGACACAGGTAAAGGCCGTGGTTTGGCAGGGGGTGGGTGTGGGGCAGGCTCCACACACTGGTGACGTCTTCAGAGGAAGGACCCTCAAGTAGAGGTCGAGGGCTGGTTCTCAGCAGCCTGCGGCACCAAGTAAAATAGCATTAGCTGATATGGTAAGGCTTCCTATAAGTCATGTAGAGTCTGAATGCCACCCAGAAAAAGGCTACCGCTTACAGGATAAAATAATCCCCCTCACTATTTCTTGAACTGGGCCCAAGCTGCCCAACGCTTAAGAAATCACTCCAATCTTGCTGCTCTGCTACAGTTGGAGATTCAGTATCAACTCGGGCACTTTCAAGAGTTATCCAGCCAATTGGCATTAATATCCCCAGGCAAAGTCCAGGATTGAAGATGAGCTACCTACAACCCCAGAGAAAGGATATTTTAGGGTCCCATTTCCTGTGTAGACCACGTGAATGATCAAGGAAGAATTCAGCCTCTAGTGATTCACTCCATCCAACATTCGTGTGTGGATTTCCCATCCACTGCCAGATGCCAGGAGAACTCCAACATATGAAGCCACCACTTGCAGAAGCAGCAACCCCCACACCAGTCTCTACTTAGGGATTGAGCACAGGGTACAAAGGATCAGCTTCCCATTCAGCAGAACTAGCCAGCTCCTTGAGAGTAGTGATTCCCTTTGCAATACCTTGCTCGGAAGTAGATGCATTTTTATTTTTAAAAACAAAAACAAGTGAGTGAATCAATGTCATAAAAAGGCTCCTTCATCTGAAAATCATAAAGACAGTGAATTTTACAAAAATTTTTCCTTCAATCCTTGGATTTCCCATTATTCATCCCACAATATCAAACATCTCTCCTCCCACAGCCTCACCTTTTATTCTACTGGGAAACAAGGACACCGAGGAAGTGGGTGGTTCCCAGGATAACCAAATGAGCAGGTTAGTCCCAGTGAAGGTCTAAGGAAACAGCTCCAAGGCCCAGGGCTCACTCTGCTCCTCTGTGGCTTACCTACCTCAGGCTTTGACACCTGTCTATTCCCTGGACTTCACTAATGGGGATGGTGTTCCCACTTGTCTACCTCCCAGGAGAATCCTGAGCGTTAATTAACACCTGCGTCAGGCTTTGAAGATAAAATTATTTAGAGGCGCATGGGGAGAGGGGAGAGACACCACACACAAACAAAATCAGATCTTCCTTGCTGGCTTATGTCTGGGATCCATCTGGATACTTTGGAGAAATCCTACAAATTCCTAGTCTTCTTTTTTCCTCTAAACCTCACTGGAACCAAATCTTTCAAAGGGAAGCCACCCTCCGCCTTGGCATCCTTCCCACCACAGCAGTCCCTGATGCCATCGTACTCCTGGAGCCTTCCTGCATGGCCAAGACCACACTAGGCTGCAGGACAACAGTGGTCACTACCCCTCGTGCCACAGTAAGAACACATTCCTTCTGCAGCCCTGAGTCACACTGGCTCCACATCCAACTACATGCAAGACGCCTGATGTTTGGAGGGATTGAAGCCAGGGAATTAAGTCTCTCTGCTTATTCTCCCTTACAGACCTGAGATCGGATCACATGGATGTCACACCTTAAAGAAATACTTGAAGGATAAGGCCAGGCGAGGTGGGGCACTCCTGTAATCCCAGCGGCTCCAGAAGCTGAGAAAGGAGGATCACAAGTTCAAAGCCAGCCTCAGCAAAGGCGAGGCACTAAGCAACTCAGTAAGACCCTGTCTCTAAATAAAATATAAAATAGGGCTGGGGATGTGGCTCAGTGGTTGAGTGCTGCCAAGTTCAATCCCTAGTACCAAGAAGAAAAGAAAAAAAGAAATACTTGAAGGATACAGAAGTGGGAAATGATTCCCTTAGCTTTGCCTCAGAGTTAGGCCTGGCCATCCCAGGACACAGGGCTGGAAGATACATGAACCCCTGGATCCAGAGCCCCTGAGCATCCTCTGGGTAGTGGGTGAGGTGAATGGACAAAACAGGCTACAGCAGACCAGTGCTACAGGATGACAACAGAGTTACAGGTGGTAGAAAGAGCCAGACACCATCTTGGGATTTCCTGAAATGACTTCAACCTTTCCAGTGTCTGTTCTACTGTCAAGAAGGACAGAATATCCAGAGAGGGAGGGGGAAGCCAGCTAGGGTAAGGAAGACAGAGGAATGTGAGAAGTAGGCTTTCCCCAGGCCCAAGGCTTCTGAAGTCCACGGCCTTGGCCGCCCAGCAGGGAGCACTGGGCTCATCAGTCTTACGTAAACACCAAGGGAAGAAAGGGAAACAATGACCCTGGCTGCCTTTCTGCGTTTACAGAGCAGCTACAGGGTCTGTTTTCTTATGCATGCAGACAGCTTCTAAATTATGCATTTCCCTCGAGTAGAATTATTCCTTTTCTCACTTCTCTTCTGTAGGAAACCCCCCCCCAAAAAAAGTTCATAGGCAGAAGTTTCTGGTTATGCTCAACTTCAAATCTGAATCCCAAAACTTATTCAAGGCTACTTTCTGCAGAATAAGCATTTACACTCTGTATTCAATGTGAGTGTGTCAGCCAGGCACCAAGACACATGCCTGTAATCCCAGTGACTCAGGAGATGGATACAGGAAGATTGCAAGTTCAATGCCAGCCTTAGCAACTTAGCAAGGCCCTTAAGTAATTTGGTGAAACCCAGTCTCAAAATAAAGGCCTGGAGATGTGGCTCCGTGGTAAACTGCCAGAGTTAAACCCCCAATACCCATTTTTAAAAATGTAAGTGTGTCCCAAAACACACACACATGCACACTCACTGTTCACCATGGCTCTGAACTTAAAATGCAGGAGAATAAATCCACCATGTGAGCAATGGCCCAGACTGTCTGGTGCTTGAAAATCCTGGAAAGTCTAGACAAGCATTAGCCTTCAATGTGATACAAGTGCTCTGCTCCCCCCACCTTTTCCCCCTTCCCTGTAACTGGGATTGAACCCAGGGCCTCCCCCAAGCTAGGCAGTGTTGTACCACTGAGCTACCTGCCCTCACTCAGCTCTTTAATATGAATCCACAGGCATCCTGAAGATGTGACCCCTTCCCTGGGAAGAAGCAAAGGAAGAGGGAAATTACTGGAAAATGCCTCTTGTTGAGACCCAGGACAAGCCAGAAGAAATGAGAAAGAGCAGGGGGAGAGGAAGGTGACACTGAAACAAGAAAAGGCCGGTGTGGCTAAGAAGAAAGGAAGGAGCAGGCTGAAATCACAGAAGTTATCTTTCAGCCAGGGACTGAAGAATATATCCACCTGGTGCTGCCTTCTTCCCTTCTCAGGGAAAACTGAGAAACCTGCTTGTTTGAGTCAATTCTTAGAAAGGAAAATTTAACTGGTGATTTTTTTTTAAAGGGGTGAATTAAGGGTACAGGTCTATAGCGCATTTAAGTTTTGGACTTTGATCCCTACTGAGGGGGCGACAGGGTCCAGGGGCTTCATGAATCCAACCCGTTCAGCATTTTGTGGAGTCCAAATTGATCTCCAACAATAATCAAATTAACTCGGTATTTTAAAGCCTCAGGGCACATGTACAAATTAAACAGCATTTTAAGTGAACTAATAATCCATCACAGTGGAAATTAAAGAAAGATTTGCTACCACCCCCAGCTGGCTCAGCATGGAAAGAAAAAACGGGAAATATTATGATTAAAAACAAAGATCTCAGATACACCACCTCAAGAGCCAAAGGCAGAGGGAGCGCACTCGGAACCTGGCTGGCCTGCCTGACAGACAGGCCCCTTTCATCAGGGGCCACAGTTCCAGCTGGAATTTAGAATGGAACCTTCTGAGTGTCACCAGGAGAGAAGGGTAGTAGGTACGCATTTTAATCAAGCCATGAAGAAACTGAGGAGTGCTGTGTTAGCCAGACCAGACCATCACACATGGCCACAGAAACTGACCAGGCACATGGAACTCACGAGAGGAAGCAACTCCTCCAGACTAGACCAGGCCATCCTCGAGGTGTGCCTCTGTATCATTGTTTCCATGGGGTGTTTGGCGGAAAGTAGGTGAAGACTGGAATACAAGTGGACTCTGAGTTTCATTGCTTTTCTGCTTTCAAATCAAATTGAACCCAAAGCCTGTGTGTAGCTAGATTCACCCTAGTGGAATGGGTGGCCTGCCGCCTCCATTGGGACTCTTTATTCTGTATTGAAGCACCCTACAAGATGGTGCCATGGAGACAACATCTCCCCAATCCCAGAATGACCTTTTCAAGGTGAGACCAGCTGGTGACGACACTGAAAGATGCATGGAGTGTGCTGAGATGAAAGTCTTCCCAAGAGGTGGCTTCATTGGAGGCCATGCTGTCAGATTTATGCAACCCTGACAAGCTCGTAAGCCTCTTTCTCCTTCAAATCCACCCTCTGCATTTTAGCCATTGTTGTCTATCGTAAAAGCAGATCTGATGATGTCATTATTCTCATGATGTTCAGAAAGGCAATACAGGGTAGTGGCTCACAAGACCTGGAAGCAGTTTCTAATCTCAGCTACATCATTTGTTAGCTGTGCAACCTTGAAGAAATTACTTAAGCTCTCTGGATCTCAGATCATAATATCTACTAGATAAGGCTCTTGTGAGGATTAACTAAATTAAGAGATACAAAGCACTCAGCATGTGTGCCTGGCATGTAGTAACCATACAATAAATTCCAGGTATGTATTCCAAGTACTTAGGATTTGGGCAACTCGGATGAAGCTCTTTATAGTTCCCAACACTCCATACCTAATTCACATGCCCATGGCTTTGTTAATGCCATTCCCTCAATGTGACACAATCTTCCCACCTCTCCTCTCCAGACCCTCACTTGTCCCCTAAAACTCAGCTCATAGGTGCTCATATTCAACAGATGAATAAAGAAAATGGGGGGGGCCTGGGGTCATAGCTCAGTAGTAGAGCACTTGCCTAGCATGCATGAGGCACTGGGTTTAATCCCCAGCACCACATAAAAATAAACAAATAAAATAACAGTATTGTGTCCATCTACAACTAAAAAAAGAAAAGATATATACACAATGGAATATTAATCAGCCATAAAAAGAATAAAATTATGGCATTTGCTAGTAAAAGATAGAACTGGAAACTATCATGCTAAATAAAA